CACGAGAATGGAGTGCCATTTGAGTTCACCGGGTTGAACAGGTGACTCATAATGCAATAAGGCTATTTTAGAGCCTGCATGTCTTCCCCCTGCTCTCTCCCAGCTTTCCTGTCATAATAAAGGCTTTAAAAAAACCATAAAAAGAATGCTAAATGTAAAACTTCAATATTTGAAGTGGTAATAATTCACATTATTCAGATAGATGGATTTAATTATCTTTAAAAAATGTCTTGTTGCTGACCTTCTGAAAATGTAAGTATTTTGAGTGACCAGTAGGACGTACTATGAAGCATGCTCAACATAGCCAGGATTTCTTTGTATCAGCTGGCTTGAAAAAGTCTAAAATCTAGTCAGAGAAAACTGGTATCACAATGGTGGTTATCGGATTTGTTTGTTAACTCGGGCTTTCTGCTTTAGGCTCTTAGTGCGCTCACATAAAGCAAAGCTTCTGATGGGTCATTTGACTCTTCTGCGCAAAATAGATCAACTGAGCACGAGGTGCTACAAGAGGAACGGGTGATAGATATCTATAAAGAACAGAAATAATATAACAGTAAAATACAACCCTGCAGCTGCAAAGTAGACAAGAGAATTACGCTGCAGAAAATCATTAATTTTATGAATTAATTGTCATCACAAACTCACAGTGGTAGAAAAATATATCAACATGAGTTCATATGTTTATTTTACTTCTTGGTGCACTCAGATGTTTATTTCTAATGTTGAAACTTAATGCTTTTAAGGTTGATCAGTGTACTCTTATTTCAGCTACTGTTCTGTTTCATAAAGATGCATCGACAGATAGCCCGATCTTTTTGTAAACCGCATATTTCTTGTAAGACTGCTTTCATACTCTCATCCTTGCAAAACTGCAAGATAACTATGATTAAAAACTGGAAAAAAGATCTCTGACAATCATTTCTCACCAGTTTCACTGAAACTTGAGCAGTTTCTCTTTCACTGTTTATTACAGCTGAATTTCCTTTTCCTTTTTGTAGTTACCATCATATTACACTGAAATCTGTATGACCTGAGGTTTTGTAATTGCATGCAATTTTTTAAATTAGCTATAGCTCAAGTAGATTAAACAGCACTTCACTCACGATGACCTCCTTGTATGCTTTCTTTAGTGGATAAAATCCAGACATCAGAAGTGTGCCTGTGTCGCAGTCCTGGTTTTTGGAAACTAGAGCTAATCAAAATGCGCACTGTTGTCTCAATATGTGGGATGAAAGGCGAGGGATTAAAACTGTGCAATCACCCATAAAGTGAGAAACCTGGTCAACCTTATGTGTAACCACACATGTGCATTTATACACTGCAGCATCAACACCTGGCAAGAGAACAAGGAACAAGTCTCCACGTTCCTCTTTTCTCCGTCTCATTATTGTTCTACAGCAAGAACAAACACACCTGCACTTACTTTCTGGATGATTCTGCAACCACGTTCACAGATGATTTCCCACTAAGACACACTGGAAAAAAAACACACACGCGCACACCTATCTCTTCCTGTCTTCCACAGCAGTGCGATAGTGTGACAAGGTGTTGAGTCACAGCCTTAACTCATTTTGTTCTCACATGTATCCAGCCTCTTTGTGTTTAAGTTTGTTTCGAAGCCGTTGAGGCCATGGCAGGCTCACGCCACTGACGCTTATCACGTACTAAATCCCAGCTCGTGGGACTGTTCACATATGGACTAAATTAAATACTTTCCCCGACGTTAGTGCACTGAGTTGTAATACTGTAATCTGTTAAGCTCTTGAGTTCAACCAGTCTCACCTACCTTAGTGAAAACAGCATAGTGACATTATATTTTATTAAGGCAGATGGAGTTAATTCATCAAAAAAAAAACAAATAAAGATAAATGAAGGCTTTCACTTTATCTCGTTAGCACTTACATTACAGGCTGGGTGCTGACATATTGTTTGGTGATGCTGGCTATAAAACTAAAGGGGCTGGAGGCCACTGTTCATGAGGAAGTACTTTTTGTATTATGTATGTTTCAGATGTTTATCCATCCATTCGCTTCCGCTTATCCTTTTCAGGGTCGCGGGGGGTGCTGGAGCCTATCCCAGCTGTCATAGGGCGAGAGGCGGGGTACACCCTGGACAGGTCGCCAGTCTGTCGCAGGGCTAACACATAGGGACAGACAACCATTCGCATTCACATTCACTCCCACATTCACAGCTAGTGGCAATTTGGATTATCCAATTAACCTATCCCCACAAGCTGCATGTCTTTGGACGGTGGGAGGAAGCCGGAGTACCCGGAGGGAACCCACGCAAACACGGGGAGAACATGCAAACTCCACACAGAAAGACCCCAGCCTGATGGTGGAATTGAACTCAGGACCTTCTTGCTGTGTGGCTACCCACTGTGCCACCGTGCTGCCTTGTTTCAGATGTTATGAAACAAAAACTACAACATGGGTGTGTCAAGGCTATATACAGTCTGTCTTTTACCACAAGCACTGCATATTCCTTCATTCAACTATAAATCTCCACACATGTGTGGCATTAATATATGACTTAATGAACCGATCAGTCTTACTAAAGTGGGCTATAGTAAGCTAATACTTTTGAGGAACATATAGAATCAGTCCCACAAACTACAGGTCACTTTAACATCAGTAATTTAAAATGTTGATTAAACTGACTGATCGAAAAGTCAGTGTGTTTATTTCTTTAAGAGCAAAAGAACCCCTCCCAAACTGATAGTTATATCATAAAGGTATCTACATGCAATAGAACTAACATAGCCTTTACTTTTTTTAACATTAAAAAATGCAACTTTATGTCACTTACATATATGTAAAAGTAAACTATATTCTGCCTCATTGGGTATCGCATCCTGAGCTCCTTTGTTTGGGCCTTTAATCAGTCACAGTGCCTTACGTTTAACGTTTGACCTTCCTGTGCAAGCTACGTAAGCTTCAGTGCTTCAGTGCAACTGCCAGTTAGCCGAGCAGATTAGGGTGAACGATCACAATGTCAGGACAGTGGATAACATCCCCAGCCTATTTCTTTGTAAGTTTGTTAAGTTACCTAACACACATGCGCTCACTTTCTGGTTGGTTCTGCAATCAAGATAACGGAGGCACTAAAATACACACACGTTCCAAACTTGTGTGACAAGGTGCTGAGTCAGAGCCTGTACTCTGCTTTCCTCACCATCTTCAGCACTGAATAATGGAAATTGCTCACAGAGGATGTGAGAAACACCAGCTTTTTTACTGCTTTTTTACTGAAAACATTCCAAAATCATGACTCCCGTAGCTGAGTAACTGTATGGTCAGTGATTACAGCACTGGCTAATTTAGGTTTGTTTAGTGTGTGGGGGAGGAAACCTAAACATTAGAATGCTGAGAAATATTAACAAATGTTGAAAAATAATTTTTTAATCATTGATTTCTACATTTGTGCTTGTTTATATTACTAATGCATTAGCAGTTTACACGGCTGAATCTCTAATACGTAAGCACAGGGTCACTAGAGATCAGATATATGAGTTGGTTAGGAAAAAATGCAGAAGCAAAGTTGCAGAAAAGGTTCACTCTATTCCTGTTTGCAGCTCATTAGTTACACAGACAAAAAAAACACTCAGTGAGTGAAGCAGATTTCTCATGCATCAAAAGACTCGAATGGAGACTTGCAGCTTTGTAACTGTTAAGCTTTTGACACTGAGGGAGTGTTTTAAGCTCCTTACTGAGATATAATAGGCCTGTCATGCATTTTTCTTGACTTCTATTTTTTAACCCATTTCTGTGATGAGATTAAAGTGAATTTAAACTAGATCATGTTTTCTCCTCGCTTCCTCTCTGTCTTCCCAAAGCTCCAGTCAGCTCTTTGATAGAGGAGTAAATAAAGCCGGAGTGATGCAATATGCCGAAATATTGCCAAGGAAAAGGAGCCAAGAGGAAATTAAGTCTGATTACAACTTCACAACTGCACCATTCACAGGATTTATACTCCCAAGAATAATATGAACGTCTCTTTAGCAGAGCAATAGTCAGAATACTGCAACTGCAATCTCATGGAACAAGTACCGAAGCAAGCAAGGTGATAGGAATTTTCTTAAACCTGTATTTTTTGTGTGTGATTTGGCCTAAAGGGTATATAGTAGGAAGTTTCAAGAATACTGTAACTGAGAGGCTAGAGCAGCATAGCATGCAGAAAATATTTAACATCTCAAATGCGATATATATTAATAAACTGAAAAAGCTCTGATGAATTTCACCTTCGGCATTTACAAATACATCTATGTAACATATGTGTTTTCGTGTGCTGCATAATGAACTTCTTTCACTCTCCCCACATTAAAAGGTCAATTTGTATCACAAGGTTTAGTTTTGTTTCTTTTCAACTTCTGTAAACATTGCTTTCCTCTCTCTACGCTTAACCTATCCATCACCTGCTCCTGCACTGTTGAGGTTTTTCTATCATTAGGCTGTTTTCCTGTTTTTTGGTATGTTTTTTAACTACAGTGGTAACTGTGGCATCTGGATTTTCTGCAGATTCAGGCTGTCTGTTCGTGTAATACTTTGATCACAGGTCTTTTTATTTTTATCAACCAAAGCAGAGTGGAAATGACCAGCTGCTAAGAGACTCTGATCACACACACACACACACACACACATTTTGTCCTGTTTTTTTTTTCCTTTCTTGTTTCCTGCCCTGCTGAACATGTGGTTCATTTCAGCAGCATCCAGCCGCAAATCTGGATTCACAGAGAAACACTGAATGAAAAAGGCAATTTTCCAACAGCCTATATATTTTTGAGTTGCTGAGATGAGATGATTTGGCAAAAGTCGTTTATATCCTTTAGTTAATGGCAGTCTTGTCTGTCAGCTGATCAGCTTCACTACCACAGCTACAGGGTGTTCAGCCTTCTGGTCAAGAGATGTAAAAATGTATCCTGCTGCAGGCTGGTTTTAACACACATATGACTTCTTTCTCTCTCTCACGCACACACAGAAATAGTGTCAGTGATCACTAACCCTTTGCAATAGGAGATGATTATACTCGTCTCCTATTCGTCTGAGCTGTTGTCCGAATGTCTCTGCCTGCATGTCCCCTGCTGCGTTTTGCTGCCACGTCCTAGAGGGGCTGGGTGACGGATCTGCAACACAAAGTAAAAAGAAAACATGCCATCTTTGCATATGATGATCAGGTAAACAACTGTTATACATCCTGCGTGTCAGTTCCAGGGTGCAACAGCATTAACTCACATGATCTTTCATTACATTTCTGAAGAGGTTAAATGCTCAAAACTTATCCACCGAGACAAAATATGTGTTTATTTATGCTTCATATAAGTGAAGCATAACCAAAAAGTATTTGGAGCTTTATTTGTGGTTAGGGGTTCAGACTTGAAAACACTGTGAAACTTCAGCACAAAGATATTTGAAATATGACTTGTAAGATTAAGAGAAACCACAAAGGAACACAGAAACCGAGCGCATGTATTTACATAGCTTTACATACGAGGTGTTTCAAAATGGCGGCTCTCTGATCGTAACTTATGTTAACAATAGGTTGCCCAGAAAGAAAATAAAGTCCTTTTGGGCATCACCGGGCACATGGCTCAGACTGTGGTTACACCAAATTCACTGCAGCCAAGCTAAGTTCCTTTGAACTTGATTCACTTGTTGATATTGAATCTTTAAAAAAATAACATGAACAGATGTAACAGAAAAGCACTGTAACTCAAACCTTCATCGTTTTTTTGTTGTTGTTGTTGTTGTTGTTTTGGAGAAAATCATATGTGATGTGCATGTTCGGCTTTCCCGCCAATCCATGACTGCTTTTATAAAAAAACCACACCAATAAACTCCTTTTAATGGTAAAATTTTGAAGAAACTATACGACAGACAAAGAAGAAAAACAATCAGAGTGTGATTCATAAAGTGAGACTCCTTTGGTTTTGACCCAGTTCAGTTTATTTGATGTTATAATCGATGCATGCTCACAGTGACATAATAAAAACCCCAGAGGAGATGTAAATCAGGGTACTTATTCAACGAGGTGAGACAGAATAGGTAAATGACAAACATATTTGTTAATTATTAACAGTAGAGAAGGTTATCAGACACATTTAGTGCACTTTGAGTGCTTCATGGTGTTACAGTTGCCAGCTGACCAGGATGAGGAAAAGTGCGAGTGCGTTCATGTGTCAGTGCGCGTGAATGTGTGTTTTCGTGGTTAATCTGTTAGATTTTCAGTCTGAACTACAATACGATTATGAAAGGCTCTGACCTCTTACCGATCTCCGCTTATGACTCATGCACGCCATTATGAAACCCAGACTTAATATTTCTCACATCCTCTGATATTGACGAGACCAATACAGCAATCAATCCATCAAGCTGCTGACTGCAGCATCAGCAAGAGGGATTTTAATGGCGATATGGGCAAGGAGCTACGCTACAATGCCTCAAAGTGTAATAAATGCTGAGTAATCACTGAATCTCACTGATTTATTCGGGTTTGGAAGCTACGAACGGTGCAGGTAGGCGATGCCAGGATGCTCAAGACATCAAATAATGAATTTTAAAACACAAAACAAGAACTCCTATGAAGTTTTGCATATGTTACTTGTTTCCTCCTTTCAAAGATTTCTGTACTGACGTCCAAGATGCTTTTAAGTAACACTGCATGTACTTAGTGGGTTAAATACTGTATCATGCACGAGGACTTACTTTATCAGGATGTTCCTTTGACAATGACCACAATAACCAAAACGACAGTTATACATAGTATACATGATGATACTGATTTTGTATAGGAGCAGTTCTAAGACATCAACCTGGCTGCTGTAATGCAATCTGCTGACAACCGATTTTGGCTCATAATCCACAGTTTGCTCATGCCGAAGGGCATTCAGTTAAAAAGCAAAAAACAAATGCCAGCAAACAGTCGCATCTTAGGTCAAAAGAGTACCAGAGTAACCTGAATAAATAGTGAATTCCTCTAACAGACAGTAAGTCGGCTTTGTGCAGCTCAGTAACTTGAATTTCAGCTAAAGTTTATTTGTAAGATCAAAGCCTCAGGCAAAATCTATCTTTGTTCCATCCAGCCCTGAGGTTGTATTATAATTAGACTGTGTTAAGGACAAAAACTCACAAGAGGCATCTGTTTTGCTCTAAAACTGAAGAAACCTGACTGCACTGCAAGTGTGATCTTCCTGCTGCTGCAGGAGGAAGTACTGTGATGTCGAGCAGCAACAACAAGATAAACAGATCTTCCTTAAGCCCCTGCACCATATCTAACACACAAACAAGTTAGCAATCTTGATAAGTGAGACTTTTGTGTGTGATTGGGGGGACAATGTGTAACTTATTGCACAAGTCAGTTTGTGTTTATTGGTCCTATCTTGCAAATGCAGTGGACTGATTGAGATGCAAGTTACTGTCTGCATCTTACAAAAGACCTGAAGCCTATTTTGGCTACTAAACACACATACTGAGTCCTTTTTTGAGTGGCTTACTTAATAAACAACACGTAACCACACACATGGACTGTTCTGTTTTGACTGCTATCTTGTCTGTCTGGCTTCAGTGAAAGAGAATAAAAGAGACACAAGGCAATCAGCAAAGCTACTCGCTGCTATTATGAAAAAGAATAGCGACACATACAAAGCAGAGAATATGCTCAGGTTTTCAGAAGTTTTATTTCAGCCTTAGGAGATTACTTTGATATTTACAAAAAAATAAAACCCCATTGTGTTTAGAAAAACAAATTGAAGGATTAAAGCTGAGATGTAAACAGAGAGGGTTAGACTGTAATGTAACGTAACCGCACAATTTTACCAGTCTGAGCAAAACAAATAGGTTTATTCTCATTAAGATGACAGAACAGCATTATTCCATAGAAGATTTATTTGCCTTCCACTGCAGCAACACTGTGAAGGCATTTACTCTGTTAGTACTTTTATCTGTTTTTTTTTTTTTTTTTGCCAAGTTTTAACCTCCTGGCAAAATTTTGTTTGTTACCAAGCAACAGGATGGGCAACTTTAGCCAACAGCATCACAGCTAAAAGTATGAGCCTTCTGTTTTTAAGCTGTGCTGATGTAAACAAGACAACTGGAGCACTATTTTAGACCAGTGATGCTGGAGGTGGCAGTTCTTTCATTTCTGTTTGGGATTGAAATAAACAGAAAACAATAAAAATAGGATCCAGGCTGTGATAACCGATAAAAACATTTTGGGGAATCCCTCAATGTATGCTCAAAACCGTTGGTCATAAAATTGCTGTGGGAGTATACACCAAATATTTAACGTTTAATGAGCATCTAAATACAACGGTGGCACGAATGATTTGTAATGAGTTTGTGGTATAGAGATTAAAAAATAATATTGGCACAACATTTTAATGTCCACATTTGAAAATGTGTTTATATGATGATATAATCTAAGCTCATAACTTGCACTTCCTGTTTTATAATATTTAAAACTTTATCTGCTTTCATCTTTTATTATGGCAATTTGAATTTCATTTTAAGCTCTTTGGATAAGTTAAACAGCTTCTACTTCTACTTTAGTATCAACTGAACATTCTAATTAACAGCTAACTGACATGTATTTAGTTACTTTACACCTCAATCGATATATTAATTCCATAAAAAGGGAAATACATAAATTCTTAGTAACAACCTGCTAGCATCCTGAAGGCCTCAAATACTGCTGTTACCGGTATGTTTGCAGAGGACATATGGATAAAGGTACTAGCAATAAGGGCCTCAATCCACACTCATCAGATATGCTATATGAACAAAAGTACCAGGCCACCTACTCAGTACACCTGCTGGAGCTGCTCGGCCATGGAAACCCATGCCGTGAAGCTCTGCAGTTATTGAGTCAGCAAAGAGTTGGTGACTTTTACACACTATGCACCACTGCCTTTGGTGACCCTGCTATGTAACTTTATGTGGCTGAATTGCTGTGGTTCCTGCACGCTTTCACTTTGCAATAATACCACTTACAGCTGATCATGCAATATCTAGGAGGGAAGACATTTCAAACTGACTTGTAGAGGTGGCATCAACGTAAGCTCTTTAAAACGATTCATTCTTTCACAAATGTTTGTAAAAGCAGGCTACATGGTTTGGTTAGGTGCATGCTTTTGTGCACCTGTACCAATGAGACAGAAAACACCTGGATTCAAAGATTAAGAGGTGTGGTCCAATACTTTTAGTGTCACATTTAAACACACTCGGTAAGCCTTATGTTTCAGCATACTAAATTAATGTTGAGAAGGGACAAAGTTCTTCATCTTTAACTCAGTGTAACCGAGTACTTTTGATGCCTAAACCTAACCAACAAGAGTCCAACACCAAATGGACACCTTTTCTGCAACAACAGCAGCATCTGAGGAGCAACAGTATTTCACACTGTGGAATGGTATAACCTGAGTCTGCATCAATGCTGATGGAGGCTAAAGTATGACACGAAATTGGTGCAGTTTGGAGAATCAACATGTAGTTCAGCTTATACACATTTTTTTTTAGCAGAATGCAACCCTAGACTATCTAAAACACAACCTGACCTTAACCTTAGTTTATGAATCCTAGAACTGAGCATGTTCTTTGTCAACTTCTGCAATATAATGGGTGAGAGGTGGATCTGACTGTGAAACCCGGGGACACCACATGCTCACTGTCATCCACACTTATGATTGACTTATTATTTATAATCAATAAGATTATCCAGGATGAACACTTTTCTTTTTTACTCCAGTAATGACAGTTTACAAAAACTAACTTTATTTTTTATAAATGTGTCCTAAACCAGCAATTACCCCATTGGGTAAGTCTCTTCTGAGGTTGAAGAGCAAAAGAGCTGAGGCCTATTTTCCCACATAGGCTTTTATACTTTACAACTACAAGTTTATTGCCAACCTTCAGTTGCACCCCTACTGGCCATTAAACAGAATGCAGCTTTAAGGTACTTCTGTGTTGTCACTTTTCAAAGCAGGAAACTTCAGCCATCTTTAATACTGTTAAAGCATGCAAACACAGCCCACTTAAATGTGACCAACCAATACTACTTGGACTACAAACTGAAACCAGAAAGATTCCATTACCAAATATCATGCTCAGCCATTGCTCAATGTTTGTGTGTTTCACATCTGCATTTCACCTGCAAGTTTGCTAAGTGATACTTAGCGAACGCTAAATAATGCTTACTTTGAGGAGTCAAGAGTCTTTAAGAGTACAGACTCAATTATCATTATGAAATACTGATACATTATGACTCTTTCACATCATTTTAAGTTTGACTAATAAAAGTGTATATAAATCTGACATCCATTACGCGTGGCAGTAACGATGATGTCAGTAGAAATGTGTTTCTTTAGGTTCACTGACAGGTTCCTACATTGTGTGTGGAATAGTACACACATGCGCACATTCCTGGGCATGGCCCTGTTAGTCTAGCCATGAGTCAGGACAACGTCTGAAACAAACCAACATCAGCAGGATTAACAACTCCTAACAGAAACATGGTACAGAATTGTCATCACGCATTACACCATTATGTGTTTGTCTCCCTCAAACCACCAATGTGAAGATGAAAATGACAAACCCTTACAGAGTAAGGGTGGGATTAAGACTTTGAAAACTAATGTGAATACAAGTTGTCACCGTTTCTGCTTTTTTTTTATGGGTTTTTTTGTTTTGTTTTTTGCAAAACAAAATCACACATCCAACCTATTGGATCCACCTTTGTCCACAATGTTATAACTATCACTCACCCTTTGTATAAACAAGTCAACAGTTTCCTTTTAAATTAAACCTGAGAATGTTATTCAAATGTATCCTGCAGGTTTTAGAAAGGTTTTACACACTCGAAGGCAGCAGGCATTACTCGCCAGAAAAACAAAGTACTACTACAGTGGAATGAAAACAGAGAAGCAGCAGAAGTGGATTTAGCAGCATGGAGGAGTCATTAGTGTGTTTTATATAAGCATGTTTCCACCTGGATTTGTTGGATTTCTCTTCAAGGGCAAACAGAGTAGCACATGCAGAGTATTAGTCAATAAACCAGAATCTCAAAAACAAAAAAGCAACAGCCTTACTCATGTGAGAATAGCAAGCATAGCACATCAAGGTAGTGGAAAAACGGCTCTCTTTCATGACTAAGCTCTAGAGTGAGAAAGGGGTGAAAACAAACACATCTTAAGTATGAAACTAGATATAAAAACATCCTAAGTATGTTTTTGTTCATCTTTTCACTATCATTGGTAACACTCAACACCACCGACCGCCCAAAGCCCCAAATCTTTGATAGAGGAAACGTGAGGGAACTAGTTGTAGACTCCTATCTAGTTTCCTATTAAGCTGCATACCCACACAGCCGTCTTACGTCCAGGGTAGTCTTTATTGACTGAGTCAGGTCAAACTTTCACCCACACCTATACCAGTATTAGCAGTGCGTTTAGGCATTTAGACAAATTCCTACACTTTAATTTGCATTCTTTATTGTGAGCATGAAAATTGTACTGTGTGCATGTCCTCTTTTACCATCTACAACAACAGCAACATCATGACGAAAGGCGCAAGGCGAGAAACACCTTTACCGTAATGTGAAGTACAGCCACCTTACATTACCAAATGGAGTTCCTGCATCTCGGTTTGTCACTCCATCATGGGAAACGACTTTACAAAAAGACACCTGAACATCTTCCACGTGCGTGCACTCACATTAATGCGGGAGTTATACATGAAGAGTCTGTGCTCACCGTGTTGCGTGCCCGGTCCTTCACCGTGCACCTCACCCATGCGCTGCAGGGCGTGTATTAGCACCTGTCCGGTGAGGCTCGGGGTCTGTATCGCTTTGTCAGACATCACTGGCTTCGGGGAGAGCGGGGAGCTTGGCAATGAGTCGCAGTCAGAGGAAAAATATCCACTGGAGGAACGGCGAGGGAAGCGGAATATCGTCCGGCTCTGAAAAACGTCAAAGCTCTTCGGGGTTCTGCACCAGGAAGGCGAATCCGGTTCTCCTCCTCCGGTAGAGCCGCGGTTTAAACGGGACGTTTGCGCTCCTGTGGCACCGACAGGTGGTAGATCTCCTCCGCTGGCCTCCGATGCTGTTACTGCGGTCGAGCCATCGGACGAATTTGGTGGTCTGTTGAATGAACAGAGCGGCACCGTCAGTTTGGCTGGTCATCCCTGTGCTCAAACAGCCAACAGCCTCTCGCTGTTGTTTCGTCTGGAGTTTCAGGCGCACGTATTCCAGCGATCCGCTGGCAGGACGTGACTCTGTTTCCAAATATCCCATCAGAACTGCGGGACTTCTGTCACTTAACTTAATTTTACACACGCGCCAACTTTTTTTTCTCTCCTTTTTTTGCCAAATCATAGCAGATGTAACGTGCTAACAATAAGTGACTTTTATGAAACGGTACTGTATTGTAACTTACTTCTCTGTGTAGCTGAAACTCAGATAAGCACAGGGAGTTCAGGAGCGAGTGTTTGGCTGTGCGCTGAGCGTGTTCCTGCTCTGTGGCCCAGGTTTCCTGTCCAACTGGCTGCCCGGTGCGCTTCCATTGTTTGAAAATAAATTTGCTGATTGCGGCACATCTCTGTTTGCCTGATAGGAAAAGCATGAGGAAGCCCCAGAGTGACTTCAGCTGCGTCACAGAGAAACAGCCAGAAATAAATGCGCCGCAACAGACCGCAATCAGCCTGCATATCAGCATTTTCAAATAAGTAAAATATAACAATCTTGAATTTCTCACATCGGTGCTTATTAGCAGTTAATAAAGGGATTTGTGAAATCAAGTTCACTCAAGTAGTCTACTGGTTTCTGCAAAGTCAGTTTATTTAAGGTGATTTGCGCTGAGATAACAACGATTTACACATGTGCCATTTTCCGTTTGGATTACTGAGCTTCAGACTCTCAATGTGACAGTCTTACAAAACAAAATCATGAAAATGATGTTTTGTTGCGGCACTTCCTGTTTGTCCAGAATAAACTGCAGCTTCCTCGGCCCACGAATCCCCCGCTGTAATGACCTGTAGTGCAAGGCGTCTGCCAAAATGAAATTCTAGGCAGACATTTTTTTTATTCGCCGGTATTCGCGCTTTTATTTCGCACATCTCTAATGTAAATATTCATCATAGCGTTGCTTTTAGAGGAGCAGAGGAGGAGCGACAACTGTGTGAACCGGGCGCGATGGCCGTACTTCAACCATATGAAAATTTTTACTTTCCTTGTGGGTTTCAGTACCGATCCGAGCGCCTCCGGAGACAGTTTGCGCACTAGAGAAATAACAGTGACACGTTCGTGCGGCTACTACGCCAAGAGGGAAACAACACAGTGGGAAGGAAGAAAAATCCGCAAAGCCGGTACGAGAACACTAACTCGGTGTGTTTTATGTAGGTGCAACAGGGCAGAAGATGTAAGAAAATTCGCTCGGCGACACGTCTGCACCGAAACTTTATGAACACAAAGAGGTTTCCGTGTCTTCGTGGGTGACGGCTGACATTATCATCGGATAGAAGAAAGTGACCTCTCGGTTAACATATTAGGTTTCACTTAACTATTAAAACACAAACAGCAAAATAGCTGAGCGGCCGTGTGCGCGTACGGCTTTACTCGCTATCCCTCGCATGGTTATCTGCAAAACCAAGTGGTGTCGTGCGCCATCTCCAGTCCTGGGAGTCTCATAGTAGCATGCCCAAACATATCCATTAGTGTCCGTAATTGCCCATTATCACAAGAATTAATGGGAGAAAAGTTCAAGCCAACTAGCCGGAGTGGATAAAAATCTCCCACGCGGGCGTCATCGCCTGACAGTAGCCGTTAAGTAGAAACGCGGACGAACTCTTTAACCTCCCTTAACAAGGGAAAGATGAAACAAAAAAACAAACAAAAAAAATCAGCTCTTCTGAGGAGTTTAAATGGAGAATTGTCGCTTAAATCCTCAACCCACTGAGCGTGTGCTTATTTCTTGAAAGAAGCTGTCGTCACTCTATCGAGCAAATAAAACGCATGTTTTTCCCCTCTCTGCATCCCTGGGGACACCGGCATTGACAGCATCTCCTTTACAGTCAACACAACCGATGTCGGGTGAAACCAGACGTTCACCCGTCTACAGAGTTAGCAGATTAATAAGCTGAACTCGAGCCAGCGCGCCGCGTTGCCAAATATACCGGCGGAGTCAGAGGGTCGCTGCAAAATTCACACCCAAATCCAGATTAATGTAAAAGAAGAAAGTCCCATCAAACACGGGACGGTCGTTTCAAACACCCACTGCACTACTTTGTTAATTGCTTTAGTAACCACTTAGTAGACATGCGTGGGAAGAGCACCTTTGTTTAAAACACCTTTTAAACAAAAATGTCTTCATGGTGATTGCAGTGACATTTCACAATAATATGAATAATTCAAATTTAGATCTACTGATTTCTAGATTTTTCCACAAATCTACCAATATACTAGGCAGGTGTCGGCTGTTTGCAACGTGACACCTGACACAGCGACTGAAACATCTAAAGAGCACGTTTGTAAAGATTTGTGTATTTTTTTTAAGTAACACACATATTTTTTGGAGCCCGTCCTTAAAACTCACCTTGAATGCATTTCAGGATCGTGCCTCTGAGTACATAATCCAAGTAGAGCTTAAAAAAGTAACATGAAAACACAACAAAAAAGAATGAAGTGTTTTAATCAGTCTGCAAACCTGTAAACAAACTCAACCCTTTGTTTGCTTCCTCTCCCTTTCTCTATGTCGCGTCAATAAGGCAAACTGTGCGTAACAGTACACTATCTACTCCAACAGTCGGTCCGCCCCTGGGAGGGACCAATGCTTTAAAGCCTATTACAGCTCTTGAACGACCTCTGTATGTCAAGAGGAGCATTTCCAGTGGCTACCCATGAGGCTTTCTTTGTGCTCAATGTAAGGACACCAATTATTAAAAGTTACAGAAACAAAATTTGCAATGTAATTACAAAAAGTTTTGTTAAACCAAAATTGTCATTGCACTCATTATGCCACAGGCTATCTGGCCCCAATTGTTTGTGTTTATAACTTGGCAAAGGCAAATGATTGATTCCCAAATTTTAAACAAGTGCTGTATGCACGCTGGAACAATGACTGAAAACAGGGAGGGGGCACTCTGTGATCTCTCTGGCACTTTTACATCTGCCTACATTTATACACATTATTCAGTATTATAAGATTTAAGCCTATTGCTGGATTTTTTGGTTTTCCCTTTTTCCACTGCAGGACATTAACAAGATGAAAAATAAATGGTATAATACTTTACCTTCTTCTTTTTGCACCCTTTTTAAAAGGTGCAAGTACAAGTTTGCTCATCCAAGTTTCATAAATCTGGTAAAGTGCACTGGCACAGTCCAGATGTAAGGATTTGTATACAAAATTACAGTACCCATCATTTCTTTGTATTTTGCTAGGAAAATGGGAAATCTGTGCAGCAGTTTTTTATGAAACATCGAAACATAAATGGAAGTGCAGTATATAAGGCAAAAACAAAGTTTCTGCAACCACAATGAGCTTGAAATGCTATGCCATAATTCTTCACTACAGTCTAAACTCTCATAGGTAAGCTTTCTTTTAATTTCTTTACATGGTCTCCAGGAATAGTTCTCCAGTCTTTGTGGAGGACATTCTAAAGCTTCTTTGGATGCATTTGTTGCACACTGCTTTAATAATGCTGAGGTCTGGGCTCTGAGGAGGACAGTCCATGAATGATAATATTCTATTGTGTGTTTTTCTGTCCAGGTATGCTTTTAGCACATTGGCAGTGTGCTTGGGATCATTATCATGCAGAGAAATTGAGCTCTTCAGATGATATTACATAGTGGAACAAAATCTGATGACACCGCCTGCATTCATAATTCCATCAATTATGAGAAGATCAGTACCAAAGAGCCTCCATTGTGTTTTTCAGATGGCTGTGGTCACTCACTGTTATATTTCTCTCCTGACTCCCTCCCTGCATATTGATAATTTGAACTAAAAATTGTAACTTTGGATTCATCGCTTCATGAGATCGATTACCACTGATTTTCAGTTCAGTTTTTGTGTAATTTGGAATACCTAATCTTTTTCTTGCTGTTTCCCTTCCATAAGACAGTCACTTTCACTGAGACCATTTCTGATGAGGCTTCAGCTAACAGTAGATGGGTCATCTGAAAGCCCAGATGCGTTCTCAGGTTATGTGTCAGGTATCTGACACATAACCTGAGAATGCTCACATCTTGATATCTTCGGCCTGTTATTAGATTTGACTAAAGAAACTGGAACAAAGTATCTCTTTTTGCAACACGCTACTAGTTACAAAGTGCTTAAAGATACCATTTAAAACTTATTCATTGCTAAGTTGTCTGGTATGTGTAGACAGTCCAGTGGTTCATCCCTTGAGTTAGGTGCCTTGAATGATTTGTAGTAGTGTTAAGTACCTTGTCAGGTATAAGGTCTGGATTAAAAATGAATGAAAAAGCAGCCAATTCTCAAAGAAAAACTCTAAAAGACATTCAGGAAACTTAAAGAAATATTGCTGAAGAGCACTTTAAAAAAGAAGAACATCTGACACCTTGGAAGCAAAATATAAAGAACTGATTGGTCTCTCAAGGCTTTCGCACTTGGTCTAGTTAAAACTACAGAATGATTTGCAAAATTAACACCTGCCCCTGTGCACCCAACCCCCACACACTTCTTCAAGAAATTCATAAACTGAAATTACTACTACTTTTTCCTTTTAACTGCCATTTGGCCTCATGCATCTTCTGCATTTGAAATTGAGACATTCACAATCTGGATGAAACTGACACCTACACATATGACTGCTAGCGTGAAAGTACACATGAGATAGGACTGCTGTTATGAATCATCGTTAAGGCCGTCTTAGTACCATAACTGTATTCCTTAAGATAGATATTTAAAAAAAAAAACACCTAAAGAAGTTAGTTGGGGATGCAACAAAACATGGATTTTACAGTTTATATCTGCACTGCAGGAAGTTCATATATCTGATTCTGATTAACAACATACAGTAAGATAATGGAATGATTCAAACACAGGTAAGAAAAGCTTAAATTCTGGTGTGCCATTCTCTAATTAATATATAATATATTCCTTCACCACGTGACTGCTTAATGATTTTGTTGTGAAAGATCCATAAAAGTCCAAAAGTGTACCTGTAAAAGTTATCCAGTCTCATACTCAACTTTATCTTCTCAGGTTTGACCAAGCAGCTTCTAGCATGGCTGCTGTATAATCCGCAATTTACTTTGAGAGTTCAAACTTGGGCAGAAAGCAAATGTGATATGAAATATATTAATGAGAGCTTACACTTACACTTTCAAATCAGGTGAGATGAAAGACCGAAAGAAATCTCATCATTCTCATCACTATTTTGCATACAAGAGTGAGTTTGTCAGCACACAGTTTCTAACATCCTTTGATTTCTATTGAAAGAGATTCAGAAGACATTTTAGGAACTGTGGTGTGCTTACTAGCATATGCTGCCACAGTAGGCTTTAAAAATCTAGCAGTTTTATCCATTTCTCTATATCAACCTTTGTCAATTTCTTAAAAAAAAAAAAATAAAATGTCATGTCGAAGGACCAGCATTTCGACGCACTGGAAGAGATCAAGTGCCCATCACAGAAGCACATGCAAGAGAATATAGCAAGACTTTAACTGAGAAATCATCAAATAGCAGCACAGATAATGGTCCTAAGGGGCATGAGGCGATGACCCTGAGTTGTAAGAATTTGTTTAGATCTTGTTAAAACTTTCAGTTTTTATAGACTTGTTCTCAGAAACCTCTGATCACATATATACATATAATTTAATCAAACAGGTAACCATAAGTTTGTATTGTATTCCTTCTTCAGCTAAGGTTCACACCGTATATGAGCAGACATTTGACATTTACACATTTCTACTGCATTCAGACAAGACTCCCATCTCGTTGCGAGCGCCTGCTCTGTATTGTGCACAGTGAGGCGCGGAGGAGTTTTGCTGCAAAATGGAAAAGTTGCATTACAGTATCAACTGCCAAGAAACAATAAGGGAGGCCCAATCTACACAACTTCAGCACCTGCAGTGATAAAGGACTAAGGGAAAAGTTGCACACACGTATGCACAAACACACACAGACAAATCAGTATGAACAGACAAGAGTGAGACACTCAGTACCATTTGCATGTAATCAATACCAATCAGTTGCTCAGAGTGTGGGAAAAATGTGTGTGAACTGCTCTACAACTCTGCCTTTTTGTGTTCATTGGGAGGCTTACAACTCTGTTTATTGTGATGATGATGATGCAGGTGATATTGTCGATGGTGCCAGTGATGAGAAAGATAATATAAAGAACTACGAGACCAAAATAGCAAGAGTGGTAAACAACATAATAACCTTCATCTTCATCAAGTGTTTTACAAAACCCACCTGCTGATAACTGGTTATAAGTCAAATTGAGCAAGATAAAAAAAATATATCGATAAGAATATATTTATGAATATCTTATATCAGTGGTTTTCAGCACTATGGTCTAATATAATTACCATTTATGTAGTGCTACAGAATTTATAATTTGTTGGTTTAGTCACAAATCCCTTTGGAGTTGTGTCAGGAAGGGCATTCACCAGAAAAACTTTGCCAAAACATGAGGAGCTACCGGGTGTGGTGAATATGGGAGCTTTATCTAAATAAGCTGCTTTCATCTGGTCCCTTAATCACAGGGGGTCACCACATGTTAGATTTTTATACCAGATGCCTTTTTTGACACAACCCCAAAGGGATTTGTGTGTCCTCTGGGGATCAAACCAGGAAACCTTTGCTTGTTAGGCAAATGTACAAATCACTACACAATGGAACCACTAAATACACACTGGCTAATGAGCATGAAATTAGGTAAATACTTTAATTTCGTGTAATAACTTTAACAATTCCTTGATTATAATTTAAAATGGTTTTATTACTGCAACAATGCCACGGGCAGTAACGCCTGAATAAAAGAAAGTTAAAATAAAATGTGTGTGTCCCTGATTTTGTTTGATATTAAAACACACTAATTATTTCCATTGGCTACTTTTGAATGGTTCAATAAGTACAGTCTTGGATTCTTCAGACCGTATTAGAAACATGTCTAGATTTCTTAAATTGACAAAGGAATTTCTACAGACTGGAATCCATTCCCCAAAGGCCTATGTATTTTTATTCTGGCTCATGTTACATATACTCATGTCTGCTGAAAGCAATGAACAGCCATGACCCTGAAAACACACCATCATTATGTTTCTTTTAGCAAATGAGCAGAAACATTTTTTTCTCTCTGATTTCTTAGTTTATATATATTTGTTACATTACAATGTTACAGAGAACCCCAGTAAATAAAAACATTTTAAATCATGATTTCATTTACCAATGGAAAAAAATATATCTAAACCCAGACCTACCCTGTGTGAAAAAAACGAGTGACTCTTTAATCCAACAACTTTGCAGCAAGAAATGCAATCAAGCATTTGTGATATCTGGAAATGAGTGTTTCACATCTCCGTAGAGGACTCTTCTTTGCAGAATTGCTTTAGTTCAGCCACACTAGAGGGTTTTTGAGCACGAAGAGCCTGTTTAAGGTTGTGAAAAGCATTTCGGTTGGATTTAAGTCTGATGTTTGACTGGGCCTCTCCACTTCATTTTTCTGAGCCATTCAGAGGTGGACTTACTGGTTTGTTTTCGATGTCCT